CTGTCTCAAAAAAAAAAAAAAAAAGAAATACTGAGCTTAAGCGATCCACCTGCCTCAGCCTTCCAGAGTGATAGGATTACACATGCGAGCCACTGCACATGGCTGGTGAAAAAATTTTTTTTTTAATCAAAGAATCCCAAACTGGCTCAGCACCTATAGCTCAAGTGGCTAAGGCGCCAGCCACATACACCAGAGCTGGTGGGTTCCAACCCAGCCTGGGCCTGCCAAACAACGAGTCAGGTGTTGTGGCAGGCACCTGTAATTCCAGCTACTTGGGAGGCTGAGTCAAGAGAATTGCTTGAACCCAGAAGTTGGAGGTTGCTGTGAGCTATGATGCCAGGGCACTTTACCCAGGGCAACAGCTTGAGGCTCTGTCTCAAAAAGAAACAAACAAACAAACAAAATGAACAGATACTAGCATGGATACGAGAACAAAACACTTATACACTGTTGGTGGGACTGCAAACTAGTACAGAACTAGCACAACCTCTATGGAAAGTAGTATGGAGATAACCTCAGAGAATTAAAAGTAGACTTATGATTTAATCCAGAAATCCCTCTACTGGGTATACACCCAAAGGATAAAAAGTCATTTTATCAAAAAGACACATGTGCTTAAATGTTTACTGCAGCACAATTCACAATTTCAAAGATGTGTAATCAACCCAAGTGCCCATCAATACATGAGGTGGATCAAGAAAATGTGGTGTGTATATATATATACACATACACACACATATATATATATGCACACACACACCACAGAGTACTACTACTTAGCTATAAAAAAAAAAAGGTGATCTAATACCTTTTGCAACAACCTAGATAGAACTGGAGACAATTCTTCTAAGTGAAATTTTGCAAGAATGGAAAAAGAAACATGTGTACTCACTATTAAACTGGAACTAATCAACCAACATCCATGTGCATATTTAGCAAGAAGACTCAATTGGAAAGCAAGTAGGTGGGAGGGGGTGGAATGGGAGGAGTACATTCACACCTAACAGGTAAAAAGCACACTATCCTGGCTCAGAGTCTGTAGCTCAAGCGGCTAAGGTGCCAGCCACATACACCAGAGCTGGTGGGTTTGAATCCAACCCAAGTCTGCCAAACAACAATGACAGTAGCCTGTAGTCCCAGCTACTTGGGAGGCTGAGGCAAGAGAATCGCTTAAGGCCAAGAGTTGAAGGTTGCTGTGAGCTATGATGCCACGATAATCTGCCCAGGGTGACAGCTTGAGGCTCTATCTCAAAAAAATAAAAAGCACACTATCCAGATGAGGGGCACACTTACAACTTTGATTCAAACTGTACAAAAGCAATTATGTAAGCAAAACATTTACACTCCCATAATATCCTGAAATTTTATTAAAAAATTTTTAAAGAGGCTCGGCGCCCATAGCAGAGTGGTCATGGTGCCAGCCACATGCACTGAGGGTGGCAGGTTCAAACCCAGCATTGTGGTGGGAGTCTGTAGTCCCAGCTATTTGGGTGGCTGAGGCAAGAGAATCTCTTAAGCCCAAGAGCTTGAAGTTGCTGTGAGCTACAATGCCATAAAATTCTACTAAGGGTGACACAGTGACTCTGTCTCAAAAAAATTTTTTTTTCTTAAAGACAAATAATCAGTAAAGAATGATACAACTTTTACCCTGATACATGGTTGTCAAACCCTGAAGTTCCAAATGAGCTTTTAAGAAAAACCTCTTTTGGCTTGGCACCTGTAGCTCAGTGGTTAGGGTGCCAGCCACATACACCAGGGCTGGAGGGTTCAAACACGGCCCAGGCCAGCTAAACATCAATGACAACTGCAATCAAAAAATAGCCAGGCATTGTGGCAGGCGCCTGTAGTCCCAGCTACTTGGGAGGCTGAAGCAAGAGAATCACTTAAGCCCAAGAGTTTGAGGTTGCTTTAAGTTGTGATGACACAGCACTCTACGAAAACAAAGAAAAAGAAAAAGGAAAACCTCTTCTACAAAAAGAGTTTTAAGTATTAAACATCCAAGAAATAGAACTGCAAGACAAAAACCCAAAGTGACAGCTCAGCGCCCATAGCACAGCAGTTATAGCACCAGCCACATGCACTGAGGCTGGTGTATGTGAACCTGGCCCGGGCCTGCTAAACAACAATGACAATTACAACAAAAAAACAGCCAGACATTATGGCAGGCATCTGTAGTCCGAGGTTGAGGCAAGAGAATAGCTTAAGCCCAGGAGTTTAAGGCTACTGTCAGCTGTGATGCCACAGCACTCTACAGAGCGTGACATAGTGAGACTCTGTCTCAAAAAATAAAAACAGGGCTCAGGGTCTGTGGCTCAAGTGGCTAAGGCGCCAGCCACATACACCTAAGGT